GGGCAGGAGGGACGCGGCGGCGCCGGCAGCCAAAAGCTGGACTGTGTCTCCCTCCAGAGGGAGAAGCGAGTCACGCACGGCAGCTCCGGCGGCGGGAAAGCCGCGGCCTCGGCCGAGCCCCCCTTCCCCGGGTGGTGCCCGGGTGGTGGGGTCGCGGGCTTGGTCCGTGCACCTGCGCTTGGGAGGTGGTAGGGGAACGTGTAATGGGTCCGATCCTGAAGGTCTCTTCTCCCTCCGCTTAAAGACGGGCGGTGGGTCGCAGTCGTCTGCCACGACTATTGATTAATAGAGGGAAATGGTGGTGGGTAAGGATAAGTAAAGCATAGCTTGCTCATTTATTTTAGTGTGTTTTGTGCTGTTCAAAAGGGCATGCAGAGAAGTGGAGGGGACGGAGCCTAAGAAGGTGAGAAAGGGCCCTCATTCGTTACATTAATACCAAACGGAGTCAAATTCTCAGTTTTCTCCTAGAATTCTTGTTCACTCCTAGGTTAAATGGGGATAAATGCATGCAGCATTAAGAAGTACTGATATACTTAATCATCTGTTGTCTATTTTTAATTTGTACCAGCTAGTTAAATAGCAACTTTTCTGAAAACAAGCTTTTGTTGAGTCTTTAACTGTCATCACATCTTATATGATGTTGATAGTCAACTCTGTGAGAAACAGAAGAGGGGAGTGAAACACTTCCCCAGTTGTTATTGTTCATGCTAGAGTTTTTCCATGTAAGTAAGGATCTGTAGAATATTTGAATTATTTTTTTCAAAGCAAATACAGACCTAAAGGTCCATGCAGTCAAAAAAAGAAAAGGCAAAATGAAGGCTTAATGTTGACTACCCCACACACAGTGATGCAGCTGTAGGATGAAATACAAAGAGGCTGGTATGGAAGGGGCAAGTTAAAAGTAGCCTGGGATGTGGTTGTCACAATCGCTGTTGCAACAAGCACTGCAGTACACATACATGCCTGGATGCGGACTGCAGCCAAATTAAAAGGCTGCTGGTTGTAAAGGCGAACGAGGTCTTATCTCATTCATCGGAAGCTGATACAATAACATCAGGATTTCCCTAGTTGGTAACTGTGTTTCTACATTTGCAGACAGCTAAAAATAATGCCAAAGGAACTGAAACAACCAAGACCGTGCTGCTGTCAGCAGCGTAATTTCAGTCCATTGAGGTAGACCCAAACTTATGGGGATCCACAGGGGTTGGATGCTCCTGCCCCACCAATGCAAAATGACCAGGGATCCTGAATACTGGAATGGGTAACCTTTCCTGTTGCGTGGGTCAGTGTAGGACCACAAGCATTGTTACTGGATTAAAAGCAGTCAAAGCACACTGAAAATGCAACTACAGCAGCTAAAACGCAACTACAGCAGCTGTTGCACTTTAGACATAGCAAACACCTTGTAATTATAGGAGCACATATATCTATATGAGCTGCGTGTATCATTACACTCAAGTTGACTGTGTATTGTGAGACCAGAGGATACTTGGTAGTTTCATATTGGTGTCCTGCTGTTACAGAAACCAGGCAAACACATCTGAAGACACAGAACTATTATGACCCAGTTAAAACAATAGAAACAAGTCACATGCAAACAACAGAAGAAAAAGCAGTAGACAAACCAATAGCTAAGCTGACCTGTTTTGAAACCCAGGAATTTTGTCTGTGCAAATCTTGGAAAATGTGATCATTATTTACAGCGTGACGCTGCTGCAGATGAGCAGTTGTTCCAGATCACTTTGCACAACATCTGAAAATCTGAGCAAATCTGCAGTACTCGCACACAGGTTGTGTGACACCACACAGAAAAACATGCTTTCAGGAAGCTTCTCTATATGCTTTCACAGTATGGCCAACACTCCTGGGAAGAACCAAAATGATCCGTTGCACGTATACAGTGCAGCTGGTTTTACAGATGCTTATTTAGTAAGCTTGACTCATCTCCAAAGGTGCGTTTGTACATGCTGCACATGCACGATATGATAAATTTACCATTTTCTGAAAATACCAGATTGGCAGTCTTTGTCCTACACAGCCTGTATTTATATCTTTCTGACTGGAAAATCCCCAGCTGAATACTGTGGCCTTAGAACACAACACAGTTATGAAACACAGTTGTTATATGAATGTTCTCTCTTTCTTCCTTCAGCTCGTTTCATTTTTGAGTTAGTGTCACTATTTCTTAGTTTTCATCAATTTGTAGGGTTCTTCCACACGCTAAAAGAAAAGCATAAAACATGAACACGGGCATTGGCACTCGCAACAAGTATAGTGTTTGGAACAACTTCAGCATCTCCATTTCAAGGTGAACAGCATGGCATAAAAATCAGAAAAATAAAAACTTGTTTCTGAATAGTTACATATATGTGGATCTGGATGTATCTTTTTTAAACACTGATTTTACTCAGAGGCATGCAGGTTCTGAGCTGCTAAATAGAGAAAAAGAAAAATTATATTTTGTTAGCCACATGTAGATTTTGTCTCTAAGAACCGATGAGTTCACTAATGTCTACCAACAATTTTGCTCCCTTATCTTTCCCAAGAGACCCCTCCCTTCGCATCGCCCACCATGCTACTAACCTAAACTAGCTAAAAGTGCCAGTTGCAGCACTGTTCTTCAGTTTAGCAGTTAGGCTCTTGGTTTCTCATTTTCTTCATAAAGATTAGGTTTTTACTTGGGTCTTCCATCTCTCTTAATATTGAACTTCAGGTACTAAAATAAGCAGGGACACAGACGACAGCTCTCATCAGGAATACCTCAATGTAAGGAGACCTATAGCGGCTTAGAGCCTGATGTGCAGCAGCATCCTACAACATTCCTCTATTGCCATCCCCTAAAGTTTGGGAAGAGGAAGCATGGATTCCAAAAGCCAGCTGCTGTAAATTATTAGTGGTTATCATCCTGATGCCCTGTGAGCCGGGACAGTCCAACAGTGCCTAAAAGTCCCCTTTACAATACAGATACACAGTTGCACACTCATGGTTTTATCACAGGTGAGAATCTGGTCCACCAAATTTAAAGTTCTTTAAAAGCTCTGGTATATTCCAAATATTCACATACAAAAATAAAGGTAATTGACTCCTGAAAAGCTGATGGAAAATGAAAAGGCAATGGAGCAAAGTTTTTCCGGGGTTCTTTAATAAGTCTCCCACAGGCATTTATTAAAATCATGCTGGTTATTGGATTTTGAAGGAAATAGGGTTTTTAACTAGCATACTGGAATCGCCACCAATCTTTCAAAGCTTCCACATAAAATGGAAAAATTGACTGCAAAAAATAACAGAAGTAACCATTTTTTCTTTTCTACAACACATAAGTGATAGAGATAAACACTTTGATGATTTTTTTACCATTTAAAACCATTCTACTAAGATATGAAATGACATGGATTGCTCATTCATGCTAACATAAATGCTGCTTATAGAGTAATGACGTCTTCCAGGATGAAAAAAACCAGATACATGTACATATTCAATGTCATTTTGGGAGCAAGACTTTGTTGCTTCCATTTAAGAGGTGAGAAAGCCAAGAAACAGAGAAAAAATTGGGTTGAAAGGGATCTCTGGAGATCTGGTTGGGTTGAGGATCCAAACCCCAGTCATGGGCGGGCTGACTTCAAAGTTAGATCAGGTTGCTCAGGGCTGTGTCCTGCAGTTTCAGATATCTCCAAGGACAAAGATTCTACCTACCAGCCTCTCTGGCCCTTTTCCAGCATTTGACCACCCTCATCGTGAAGGATTTTCTTCCTTACACACAAACAAATTTCTCAGAATTTTTCTTTCTGCCTCTTGTGTCCATTGCCTCTCATCCTTTTGCTGTGCACTTCCAAGAATCCTCTGGCTCCATCTTCCCACTAACCGTCCATAAGTAGTTGAATACAGCAGTTACATCTCCCCTTTCCCTACTTTAAAGGGGCTGAACAAACACAGCTTTCAGTTTTCTTGTATGTCGTGCCTTCACCACTGCTAGGACGCACTGCTGACTCACATTCAACTTGTCCACCAGCATCTACAAGCATTTTTTTGCAAAGACATTTTCTAGATAGCCAGTGCCAAGCTTGTACTGTTGCACAGGGTTATTCTGTCCCAGGTGCTGGACTTGCATTCATCTTTGTTGAACTTCACAAAATTTCTGTGAGGTCACTTGTCCAGCCTGTTTTGATCCTTCTGAGCAGCAGCCTTGCCCTCTAGTGTATTGACTGCTCCCCACATTTTGGTGTCACCTGCTGGGAGTGTTTGCCACTGTCATCCAGATTGTTGGTGAAGACTGTAAGCAGTATGAGCTCCAGTACTGAACACTGAGGAATGCCACTAGTGACCAACCACTGCTCTTTAAGCCTCGCAGTTCAATCAATTTGCACCCATTTTATAAACTACCCATCCAGCCCATATCTGCCCAGTTTGGCTACAAGGATGTTATGGTAGACCATGTCAAAAGCCTAATTAGAGTCAAGATAAATGACACTGCTCTCCCCTTCCCCGCACAGCCAGTCGTTTCATTGTAGAAGGCAATCAGGTTAGTCAGGCAGAATTTGCCTTTAGTAAATCCATATTGACTATTCCAAATCACCTTCTTGTCCTTCATGTATGTGGAAATGACTTCCAGGAGAATTTTCCCCATAATCTTCCTTCAGACTGACCTGTAGTTCCCCACATCCTCCTTCTTGCCTTCTTGGAAACGGGCATATTTACCATTTTCCAATTATTTGGGACCTTCTCCTGTCACCATGAACATCTGCAGATGATAGAGAGCGGTCTTACAGTGACATCAGCCCACTCCGTCAGGGCACTCGGATGCACCTGGTCCCACAGACTGCTGTATGTCCACTTCGCTTAAGTGGTCCCTATTGATCTTCCCTTACCAAGGGTGGTACTTTACTCCCCCAAACTCACCAACAAAGCAGAGTTAAACAAAGATGAAGAAACCCTGGGATGAATGCTGTTTGTCTGACCTACCCCATAGAATATCATACAAACAGATATTTCTTCTTACGCTATTTCATCAAAAAGAGCAAAATCCCCCAGGCTGTGAGAACTGTAGCTATTTTGAAATATAAAGATGCTTCTTTCTAATACTTCGTAAAGCACCTAAGCTCCCTAAAGGGGAAAGATTTAAAAACCTGCACTCCTCATTTCTCATTTGCCACCTCTTGACAAGTCACTACTGAGCTTTTTAGATCTT